TTTGAAGAAGGTGAGGAGTGTGGTGGATTCCTGGGTCCTGGAGGAGGATGGAAGCAACGGTCCCTAACTACTAGATCCCCAACTATTAGAGGAGGGGTCTGGAGGACAGACTCCTAGATGTGGGAGAAGGAGTTTAGGGCGTCTTGTCCGTCCAAGGGAAGAGGGGACCCAGACTCCCGGGTCTGATGGCAGCAAAAGACTAGAGCCTTGTGGTTTCTGACTGAGAAGGGGCCAGGACTCCTGGGTGATTAAAAAGGACAGGCTAGGACTCACAGTCCTGTGTCTCCTTCTCTCCACAGTTCACCCTTTTCTCCACCTGCTCCCCGGCCTCCCGCACTTTTCGGGCTTCCGCAGTGAATTTCTTTTTCCCCTTGGTCCTTCTCCTGGGTCTGGCCATCTCCGCTGTTCCCGTGCTTTATAGCCTTTTCCTGTAAGTGTGAGAGGCGCCTGCCCCCACCCCCTCCACCCTCATCCAGGATTCTGAATCGCCGCCATCCTTGAACACTGCCTGTCTCTGCGCTCTTCAGGATCCCACCTTCCAAGCTGTGCGGTCCATTCCGAGGGCAGTCGTCCATCTGGGCCCACATCCCTGAGTCTATTTACACCCTGCCGCAGACTGTCCAGGACTTTCTCTTTTTCCTGGGGACCCAGGCTTTTGCTGTGCCTCTTCTGTTAATCTCCAGGTGAGGGAGCCCAGACTCCTGGGTTTGAGTTTGTGTGCCCTGGGGGCCCCACTGCCTGTTTCCAAGGGAGGAGGGGGCTGGGTCCTGGACTCCTGGGTCTGAGGGAGGAGGAGGCTGGGGTCTGGACTCCTGGGTCTGAGGGAGAAGGGAGCTGGGGGGCCTGGACTCCTGGGTCTGTGGGAGGAGGGAACTGGGGGTTCCACACTCCTGGGTCTGAGGGAGGAGGGGGGTGGGGGGGGGTCCGGACTTCTGGGTCTGAGGGAGGAGGAGGAGGGCCCTGGGAGCTCTGGATTCCTGGGTCTGAGGGAGGAGGAGGGAGCTGGGGGACCAGGGTCTCCTGGGTCTGAGGGAGGTGGGGCTGGGGGTCCGGATCCCTGGTTTCTAAGGAGCCATTACCTTGAAGATACTCCAAGAGCGTTCTGGCTTCCATTTGTCTCCTCTAGCATCCTGATGGCATATACCTTGGCCTTGGCTAACTCTTACGGACGTCTCATCTCTGAGCTCAAACGCCAGATAGAGACGGTGAGCCAGACTGGGTTCGTGGGAAGAGGTCCTGGTTATGGAAAGAAGTAGGGGGGAAGGTCTGTCTCACCTCTACTTCTCTTTACCCTTTACTCAGGAGGCGCGGAATAAGGTCTTCCTGGCACAGCGCGCCGTGGCCCTGAGCTCGGCCAGAGGGGCTCTCTGACCTCCCCAGCCTCCCTTTTTAAGTCTCCGGCACGTCGTCTCTAAGAGGAGAGAACTGGACAAGACCCCAAGCCCTCACAGCCCTGGAATTCGGAGATTTCCGGGGCCGTGGAGCTCCCCCACCCTGCCAAGTCCCTCACTCTCCGGCAAACCTCCTTCTTGCATCAATAAAGGCAGCTCAGGCTGCAGAGCACTCCTCGTAACTTGCATCCTGAGGCTCGCGCTGGGGGGCGGGTGAAGAGCAGGACACAGGCCAATCAAATGTAGAAGCCTCGAGAGGACCGGACGCGCATACCAGCCAATCAGCTGCCGCGTCCGGTAGCTTCGGGGCGGGGACACGTGATGGGCTCGGACGCTTGATAAGAGGCGGTCGCTAGGCTACGCCAACCCCAAATTCGACATCTCAGCCAATAAGCTGTCGCTACGGACTGGGGGGGCGTGGCAGTCAGCCCAGGACCAATCCGTGACTGCGGCAGGAACCACAGGGAGGGTCATCCTCTCGCCAATAGGAAGTACTCGGAGGCGGGCCTGCCAGTCGGCGGACGGCTGAGACGCCATGAATATCTTGCCCAAGAAGAGTTGGCACGTCCGGAACAAGGACAATGTGGCCCGCGTGCGGCGTGACGAGGCTCAGGCCCGGGAGGAGGAGAAAGAGCGGGAGCGAAGGGTGCTGCTTGCTCAGCAGGAGGTAAGCCCCGAGTACGGTCGGGCGGGACTCCCGGGCCGAGCGCGCAGGCGTGTGAGGAGGGGCCGGAAGGGGGGTGGCGCGCAGGCGCGCTGCGTCCCGTGAGACCGGCGGGGCTGGGCGCGGCTGAAAGCGCCGGGCTCCACCTGCGCGGCCCCCGCCTCCCCATCTCCCCGGGCCAACCCCTCACCCGCTGCGGGGGCCCCACCTGCGCCTCCCCCTTGCCCAGGTTTTCCCCCACTCGCGTCGTTCGCGAGGCGAGAGTGCCTGGCACTGGAGGGGCTGGTGAAAAAAGGAATCCTTGCGCAGTTCAAGGAAACTCGGTTCCGTTTAGTTTGCCTGCGCAACCTCCCTGTTGAGCGCCTACTGTATGTTCGCAGAGCGCCTGACCTGCGGCCTCTCAAGCACCATTCGTGGTTGGAGGGGCAATGTCCCGCCTGTGCAGAGAACGGGGATGGCTTCCGAAGGGCCACGACGGAGGGGCGAGCTCCCTGCCGTCCCCCCGGGGCTTACGGTGCAACTGCTAATCTCTAGTTTGCAGTCCTTTGTCCAGTCGGGCCCGGAGGTGGTCTGCGTTCTTAAAGTTCGCTTTTGTCAGTAGCGATTGCTCGTCGTCTCCGGGGCGGTGACTGGGAGCCCTACCTGTAGTTCCGGTCGCCCGCTCCCCTGTTTTGGGCTGCCTTCACAGCTGTTTTGATCGTGTCCCCTGAGCCTGGGACCCTTCTGGTTGACCGAGCGGCAGCGTACAGGCCCAGGTGTCGCCTCCTTCCCCTGTCTCCCCGGTCCTTGTACTCTGCCTTACAGCCCCCAGCACCAGCACTGGGGCTCCCTCAGACGGACTCTCAGAACCCGTCTCCCAGTTCTTGGAGTCCCGTCTAGGTTCTGAGTGCTCAGCCTGTAACTTTCTTTTCCCAGGCCCGCACAGAATTCCTGCGGAAGAAAGCCAGGCACCGGAGCTCACTCCCTGAGCTCGAACCAGCAGAGGCGGGAGCCCTGGGTTCTGGCCCTGTGGATCTATTTCGGGAGCTGCTGGAGGAAGGGAAGGGGGTGACCAGAGGCAATAAAGAGTACGAGGAAGAAAAGCGACTGGAGAAAGTAAGCTGGCCCCCCACCTAGTGAGTCCTGGGTGGAGCGTGGGGGTTACTGACGGGAATAGAGTTGGGGGGCGGTGACGAGATGAGCTCAGTATGGAACACTGCACTCAGGAGCGTGGGTTATTGCCATCCAGGCCTGCGAGGGGCTTGGAAGTGGGTGCTGGAACCCCCTCCCCGCCCAGCTATGGGACTGTTAGGTACAGACCCCTTGACGGGACAGGGCCCTCTAGGGGTTGGGGGAGGGTTACGGAGATCTTTCAGTGTCCATCACCTCGCCTGCTGTCAGGGATTCCTACCAAACCCTGATCTTGCCTTTGTTGTGCCTCCCTCCTTTACTTTGCGAGCTGCTTTCAGGTGTGTCTTCACATTATCTCCCCAGAGTTGCAGCCTCAGAACGCTAAAGCGGCTGTACCTCGTCCTTCCCCGATGCTTGCTACTGCCCAGGGCATGAGCCCCACCTGTCCTTAACACATGGCTGGGCTGGCTCACGCTGGTTCTGCCTGTCCAGGAGCCTCAGGTGTCCTGTGGTCGCGTGGAGGGCTCCCCGAGGGGACATCCTCACCTCCCTAGTTTCTGTCCCCTCAGGAGAGGCAGGAGAAAGCTCTGGGCATCCTGACGTACCTGGGCCAGAGTGCAGCGGAAGCCCAGACTCAGCCACCTTGGTACCAGCTCCCCCCGGGGCGAGGGGCCCCCCAGCCTGGCCCAGGTCCAGATGAGAAGATCAAGAACCGCTTGGACCCTCTTCGGGAGATGGAGAAGCATTTGCGGAGGAAGCGGCGGCACAGCGGAGAGGATGGCGGCCGCAGCATGAAGGGGAAGGGGGTGCCCGAGAAGCAGCGGCCAGAGGGGTAAGCAAGCTGGGCGGGCCAGTGGGCTCGAGGACTGGGGCTGCACGGCTGAGGGGCCGCTCTCCACATGCAGTTTCGGGACCCTGACACGGCAAGCTTGCTTTCCTGAGATCCCCAGGCAATGTTCAGTGCGGAGTGGCTGGTGGCTTCTGGGGAGACACTGCAGGTACAGGACACCTAGCCTCGTTTCGAGGTTTTTTTGGTGTTTCCATGCAGAATAGTGGTTAGACCCCAGAAAGCTTTAGGTCTCGGGGGGTTTTGAGTTTGAGAGCCATGGGGTCAGCAGGTTTGTGTCCCCAGCAGGACAAACCCCTGAGCAGACAGTTGGGTCGTCCACAGAAGGGGAAACTGAGGCTTGGGTGTGTTGTTTCAGCTGATTAACAGGGAGCTTTCTGGATCTGGAGAGGGACTGACTGTAAAGGGGGTGATGGGATCCTTGTGGGCAGCATGAAGCCAGCTTCCCACCCCCAGGCCTCACGGGCCAGAATGTCTGCTGCGAGGCGGGGGTTGGGGAGTGTTCCAGGGGCTGTGAACTTCCTGACCTCTTTTCCCCCAGGCCCCCATCCCTGGACCAGCTTCGAGCTGAACGTCTTCGGCGGGAAGCAACGGAACGGGCTCGTGCAGAGGCCCTGCTGGCCCGAGTCCAGGGCACAGCCCCCCAGGAGGACCAGCCTGAAGAGGAGGCCGATGAACGGCGGAGGCGGTACAACTCCCAGTTCAACCCCCAGTGGGCCCGGCGTCCCGCCAGCAAGACCCAAGTGCTCACTGACTCCTGGGGGGAGAGGAGAGGCCGTAGCTGCCAGCCGTCATATAAAACTATTTATTCATAAATATTTTCCAAAATGAAAATAGGTTTACCAAAAAATGTCCCTCACTGGGGAGGGGAGGAGAGGGCAGCCCTCGCCCCCGGGGCCCCCAGGGTGGGGCTGCTTCCTGGGGGAGAGGGCTGCCCCTGGCCTGGGGCCTCCCCCAGTCTTCCAGGGCAGGGCCCTCGCCTGGGCAGGGGGTGGGGGTCAGCATGCGGGGGGGGGGGGAGGATGGAGGAAGGGGCCGGTGTCACTGGAGGTCCCGGTCCTCCAGGTAGCGGTACTCAAAGGTGAAGCCTTCCTTCTTCCGCTGGCCCCACTTCTCGTAGTCAAAGTAGATGTAGGTGCCCTGGCCAGGGGAGAAGGCGGTCAGTGAGTGGGCGAGGAGGTGCAGGGGCTCTGGGCTGCACCGACAAAGGGGACAGAGCTCAGGGCCAGGGATGTGCCAGGCGCCGGGCCAGGGGCCCTACATGCACAGGCCGTGTCCCTTCACCCTCACCAGGCTCTTCTCGGGCAGGGTTCCTGCTCTCCTGCCCCTGTCAGATGGAACGGGGAGGCGTGGAGAGGCCCCAGCTGGGTCTCCACCCCAGGCACGTTTACACAGTGTCTGCGGCTTCTCGGATGGCTGCGGCGTGAGGGCCAGAGCTGGTGCTCGGTGCCCGGTGCCCGAGCTGGGTCCTAGCATTTAGTCTTCACACAACCCTGAGGCCGTTACCCCATCCGAGAGAACGGAACAGGCTCAGTCTACAGCCAGGCACGCTGTTGGGACAGATGTTTTATTGGTGACCGTGGTGGCGTGGTATTTCTGAAGCAGGGAGGCCTTGACGGGCACCTGGAGGAGTGCGTGGGCCCAAACCAGGACGGGACAGGGAGTCTGGTTAACAGCTGAGAGGACGGGGAAGGAGGCCGGGTCTGCGTGACTGTCTGAAATGCTGCAAGGAAGCTGAAAGGAGGGGAGGGGACCGAGCTCCCGGAGGACAGGCTTTGTTCAGTACTCGGCCTCGGGCAAATATTTGGTGGAAGAGACCGGTGCGGAATATAGTGATTCAAAGTTACTGGAAACGAAATACACGCCTGATGCCTGATACTTGACCGTGGCGCGATCGTTGTTCAGTACTTACACGTCATTAACTCAGTCCTGGTAACAACTGCACGGGGTGTGGCAGCCCGTGTTTGTGTGTGAGGATAGGGAGACCGGTCCAAGCCACTCGCCCAAGGTCACCCAGCTCGGGCTGGCTTCAAACCCACGTGGGGTGCAGCCGGTGGGGGTTCTGGGTAGCGCCCCCTTCGTGTGTGCTGCGGAGCCCCAGCTCTGCTGGGTACGGGGGGCGGGGCGGGGAGCAGCTCGTGCTCCCAGGTGGGAGGCAGCACGCACAGTGTGGGCCCAGCGGCTACGGGACCACGAGCAGCCCGCGGAGAGGAGAGGACAGGGGCCCCTGTGGAGCCCAGGGCCCGAGGGCCCACGCTGGGGGCAGGGGTGGGCGGGCGCAGGGAGGGGCCCTCACCTGCTCGAACTCGTCGGTGATGGTCTTCGGCTCCTCGTGCCTCTGGAACCACATCATGTACTTGGTGTGGAATCGCCACGACTGCTTCTTCAGGGCCTTGGCTGCCAGGTACTGCGCCTTCGTGCCCTGGAGGAGGAAGGGTGGAACCGGGGCTCAGGGGGCCCCCACAATGGTGGGGGCAAGGGGCACAGGGCCTCAGGGCTGACCCCAGGGCCCGCCGTAGGCGGAGGGGGGGCCGGACAGTCCGCTGGCAGAGGGGCTGGGGCATGGAACCTACCACTGCTGGTCAGCGGGTGTAAACCGCTCAGAGCAGCTTGAGAAGAAGAGAAACGACTGCGTGCTGAGAGCGGAGGACGGGTAGTTGGAAAGCTTCCCCTGGCAGGACTGGGAGGGGGAGCTTGTCACGACTCCCTGGGGTCATGCAGAGGGGACAGTTCCCTAGTGGCCTCCAGGGGCCGACGAGACTGCACGGGAATGAACACTGTGGGCACAGCCGCAGCGGCTGGAGTGGGACTGGGGCTCTCTGGTCCCCACAATGGACCGACCTGGCCCTTGACCTCAACACGGATGTGTCTGCTGAAGTGTGGACAGGGACAGGTCTGCCTGGCGCGGGAGTGGGGGGCAGGGAGGGCAGGACTGGGGGATGGGGAGGGGGTGCGGTCCCAGTGGCCGCAGTGGGGCACCCACCTCACCCCTCCAGCCCGAGGGGGGACGGCGGCGGTGGCGGCGAAGCCGGGGGGCCTGAGGCTGCCCCGGGGGCCCTGCTGTACCTCCAGATAGTAGAAGATGAAGAAGAGCGTCTCCGTTGACAGGCGCTGGTAGAACTCCACGGTGTCCGAGTGTGGGGGTGGCATCTGGTGGTGGTAGGGGGGCGTCGGGCAGGGGTTCCGGGGGAGGTACTGCCTGTGGAGGGACAGGAAGGTTGGCGGCCGTGCCTGACAGACCCTGTGGTCCGTGGACCGGATCGGAGCCACACCACCACCTGCCCCCCGTGCCCCACTGCTCAGGGGCAAGGTCTCCAGCACCTGGTCACCCCCACCTCAAGTGCCTCGGACCCCAGCTCTCATGGACAGCCCCGAGTCCAGCACCCGGCCTGACCTCGTGTCCCGGGACCAGGGGACCAGGTCCCTGCCTGGGCCGCCTCCCACGCGCCCAGGGGTCCCAGCGCCTCACCGGATGCGCTCTGAGTCTGAGGGGTGAGGCATGTGGTGCCAGGCGGCCTCCTCCATGGCCTGCTGGTACAGCTGCTCCTTGGTGAGGGGCACAGGCCCCAGCGGACACACGCCCAGGGACAGTGGGATGTTCACCTCCGACAGCTGCAGGGGTGGTTGCGCGGAAGTCGGTGGGGCGGACGTGCTGCTCAGGATGATGTCTGCGGGGGGCATGGGGACAGGCCCTTCAGTGAGGCTGGTGGGGGGCCCGTCCCCCACTCTCCAGCCGCCCCCCCCCCCGGCCTCGCCCAGACCCGCACCTCGCTCAGTCAGGTGCAGCGCTGGCACGGGGTCCTCGATGCCAGAGCTGATGGCTGCCCGCTCCGCCATGGACTTGAGAGAGCTCAGGGGCTCCGGGGCCTGCGGAGAGAAGAGCGCTGGCACCACGCTCCACGTCCTCCGGTGGGCGTCGGGCTGAGGCCACCAGCGTGAAGAGCCCCGCTGCCACCCCACCTAACGAGATGGTGCAGGCGCACATCGAGGAGTGGCTGTTTGCTGGGGCCCCTACCGCGCAGGACCACGACGGCAGGTCCGGGAACACTGGCCTCCACACCCCACCCCGCTGCCCAGGCTGCTACACCGCGTGCACCCCGCCCCCCACCCCGTCCAGCTAGCACAGGGCCGTGGGGCAGTCTCCTGGCACCCACGGCGTCCCAGCTCCTCACTGGCGGACAGGCAGGCCCGTGGGCAGCGCTGCCTCCCCATCACCCCGTCCTCGCGACCCTGACCCTCACGTCCCCCGCCCCCCATGCTCTTCTCAGCGGCCCCAGTGGGACTGGTCCAGCCCCATCCTTCTCTGTCCTTTCTCCACTCACAAGCCAGCAGACCCCTCTTCCTCAGAGACACGCAGTTTCCTGTGGTACCTCTGAACTGCGTGCTTACTCTGGACCCCGCACCGTCCCCAGGGCATGTGTCCTGTCATACGAGAGGTGCAACTGGAGCACCTGCTTTGCCCGGAGGGAACGCCATGCAGGACGGGGGTCCAGACTCTGACACGGCAGAGCTAAGGTTAAACACAGGCCTAGAAAGTCAGTCCCACATCCTGCTCCTCTTTCAGACTCTGGCAGGACCCCACTGCCTCCCCAGGACACCCGACCACCCTCGCAGCCCTGCAGCCTGCCTGTGCCCCCACCGCCTGTCTGCGGAGCCCTGCCCCAGCGTTCTCCTCCTCTCCAGCGGTGGCCCTCCTGCAACCCCGGCACGAGAGACAAGAGAACCACCCCTTCCTCCCTCAGCCTTTGCTGACCCTGGGACCCCCACCGCTCCCAGCTTAGGTCTCCTCGCCAAGGCCTTGCTGGGCCATCGCCCCAAGTCCAAGGCACCTCTGCGGGTCCACAGCACCCGCTGCCCCCAGCCCCGTGCAGTCCTGGTCGGCTTCCTGTAGAGGAGGTGGGACCTGGGTGTGCTCACCCAGCACGAAGCATGGCCCAGAGTGGATGCAGTGAAGGGAAAAGGAGGGCGGTGAGCCGGAAGGTGGGGTGTGTGCCGGAACAAGGGGACACAGGGACAGAGAGAATGGTGGGAAGCCAGAGCACGGGAGACAGCTGCAGAGCGCAGGATGGTGCCAGAGCCTGGGGACCAGGCGAGGGTGCAAGGGGTGGGGGTGACCGGCAGACCCGGAGGAAGGGGACAGCACACGTGCAGGGAAGCCTGCGGCCCACCTTGATCTCTGGGGCGGTGCTGAACTGCGGAGGCCCGTTGAGCAGGGCGCCGGCTGCCTTAGCCTCGCTGAAGCTGGGTGTCGGGGAGCTGGGAGGGTTCACAGGAAGTGGCACCAGGAGGCTGGGTCCCCCCGTGTTGTTCCCTGAGCCTGGAGCCACACCCCCAGCCCCCGCTGAGGCTGCCGCACTGGGTTCTTTCCTGGGAAGGAGGGAGGAGGAGAGGGCTCAGAGAGAGAACGGGAAGCCTTGGCGAGTGGGGGCCGAGGCAGACCTCTGCCACGGTGTATGGACAGGGCCGAGGGAGAGGTCAGTGTTCCACCCACAGCGTGGGTCGCCTCAGGCAGATGCCCCCTGTGAGGTGGCCCACCCAGAGCCTGGTGGTCAGGCAGACCCCGGAAGAAGGTCTTCCCTATGTCCTTCGGATGTCAGTCTTTGTGGGGGCGATCTTCTGAGAAATGGGGACCCTCTCGAAAGTCTGACCTGAGAACTGGACTAGCAGCTTTTGGAGGGGAGTCAGGTGGGTCTAGGGCAGGCTCTGGAAAGGGCACGTGAGGGGACTCTAAGAACAATCCCGATTGCCCGAGAAAGGTTTTAAAACCTTCCAAAGGGTCAAGCTAAGGGACCGATGGAGGAAAGAAGTGGGGACACGATGCCTGACCGGGTGGGCGAAGTCCTGGCAAAGGCAGGGGCAGACACTCACGAGGTGCTGGGAGGTGGGTTGTGGGGGCCCGACGGGGGGCCCAGAGCCTGGCTACTGGCGCTGCCGCCCCCACTGCTGCTGAGAGCCACCTCTGCTGGGCTGTCCGCCACCACTGAGCTGTAACCTGGGGGCAGGAACGGGCATGAGAACGGGCTGACCACAGCAGGACCCACCCTGCCCCCCACAGACCCCTGCTTACTGGTGGCGCCGTTCTGCTTGCCAGCGCCTCCGCCTCCACTGCTGTTACTGCCGCCGCCGCCGCCCCCTCCGCCGCCCCCCCCTCCCCCACCAGGCTGGACGCTGGGGGGCCGGGGCTGGGTGGTGCTGGACCCACTAGGGGCTGGCGGGGCCACAGCCTGGGCATAGGGGGCAGGGGTGCCTGACCCGTGGCTGGGAGCCGGGCTGGCCTTGGGGCCAAGGGCACTCGCCGGCGCTGCTGGGGTGGAGGCCCCATTGTTGCCGGAGGCAGTGCTCAGGGCGGAGGCGGCGGGCGGGGGGCCAGGTGGGTAGCTGGGCGGCACAGCCGGGGACTGAGGGTGCTGGCTGCTGTGGACAGGCTTACAGCCATTTTTGGCTGGAGACTGCAGGTGGGAGAGAAAAGGGTCAGGCCCCACTGGGCCAGCGGGTCCGCTGAGCCCCCCTGCACATGCCCCCCTGCCCCGAGCGGGGCTCCACCATCCTTGCAGTGCCCGGCTGCCCCTAGCTGTCCCCTCCCCTTGACCTTACTCTCAAAGCTTCCATCACCACCTTGACACCTAAACCGCTCACACGCATTCCCGCCCACACCCAGCTTCCCACATCCTGCGTGGACACCTCCCCGTGGCAGCCCACAGGGGAGACCCCCCCACCCCAGACGTCAGGACAGCAGCTACGTCAAGGGAAGATCAGCTAGAAGCAGCTAACAGTCCGAGAGAAGGAAAAGCAGCCTGAAACGGGCCAGTGGCTCTGAAGGTCACTGAAAGGCTCACAGAAGTAACTGGAAGGGCCGCTGCTGACCAGTCCCCAGAAGGCAGCAGGGACACGCCTGCCGCCCAGCACTGCCTGGCGGCCCGCGGCCCAGCCCTCGCTGCACACCCCGGGTCCTGAAGCCCCCTCTTCCCCTCCCAGCAGGCCACTCTGTGGCACCCTGGTTCAAGGACATGCCCCTGCCCTGGGAGATCACACCCACCTGGCTGACTTCGCTATCCGTCGAGCGTCCCCTTTTCTTGTCATCTTCTGAGTTTTCCTGAGGTGGGAGAGGTGCCGTGCGAAACCGGTGTGAGCGCGAGGGCCCCGGCAGAGAGGCCCACCTCTGATGCCCCCTGGACCGCTGTGGGGCCTGTGTCCCGAGCCTCACCAGGGAGCCAGCACCCCGCCAGCCTCCCACAGCCTGGGGCCTGCTCTCCTTAGGGACTCCAACCCTCGATGCCCTGCCCGTGCCGCACACCCGGGACCCACCCTCAGGGCCCGCACCCAGGACACCGAGCCCCCACTCGCTCAATTCCCTCATGTCCCCCTTGGGTCACCTCCTCACCGTGGTACAGTTGGCCGGGCTGGGCGGGATGGGAGAGCTGGAGGTCGTAGAGGTGGGTGTGCTGCTGGACTGGTTGAAGATCTCATCCTCCATGTGACTGTGGCTGGGGGGGGGAGGTGGCGACCAGCGCCTGTGCTGTGGGGGCAGGGAGTGGCAGGCTCGACAGGCTGGGACACACCCCCAACCCGGCCCTCACTGCCCCACGCCCGCAGGCCAGCCCGGGGCCTCACGAATGTCCTCGAGGTCCAGGTCGTCGTAGAGGAACTCGTTCTCCTCGAAGTCGGGGTCCTGGGACGAGTCGACGTAGTACTCAACGTCATCCTTGATCTTGCGGATGGCGTCCACGAGGATGGAGTCGTTGTCCAGCATGCGCAGGATGGTCTCCAGCATGCGGACGTGGTAGCGGTGCTTCTCGATGTGCCGCTTCAGGCCCTCGATCCGGTCCTGCTTCTGCTGGCGAGCCCAGGGCCAGGCTCAGGGGCTGCAGGGCACCTGGCCGGGCCCCTCCTGCCTCCACAGAACCTGTCAGTCCCCGACCCGCGCAGAGACCCAGAGGCTCCACTCCGGCCCCTCCTGCCGTGGGCAGTGTGGAGTCAGTCTGTGCCCCACCCCAGCCCCTCAAGGATCCCCAGCTCCCACCCAGACACCCTGGGAAACTCCCAAAAAAACAGAAAGCCTTGTGTTCCTACCCCATGGCCCCCTGCAGCTCCCAACAGCCTGGACCTCGAAACTGCAGCCCACCGCACCCCCATCTGCTCTAACCGCGACGGTGATGACGCCCGTTTGCAGGGAGCCGGCATCTCTGTCCTCACACAGCCCACCCTGCGCACACACCCTGCGCGGTACACATTCAGCAACTTGGCTCCTGGGCTCTCCGGGCCCCGGCCAAGGCCTCAGTTCTAAATCCGCCCCCTCCACAATGACCTATTCCATCTCTCCTCTGGGCTCCGGCTTCCCAAACCCCTCAGAGGCTCAGACCCCCAAACCGGGCTCATTTCCCACTGCCCCGCATCCTGGACCCAGCTCTCCATTCCCTATGTTTCCTGTGCCAACGAGTACATGTGCTCTGCATCCCCCTGAACCCACACCCTACGACCCTGGAGTTTCGGCATCTGGGCCCCCGGAGCTGGCTTTGCCCCAAGACTGCTCTTCTCAGCGCAAATGAGCCTCGTCTCTCCCTGCCGCCTCAGGACCTGGGCCTTCTCAGAGCTAGGATGCCACGGCTTCAGCCCTCAGACCTCCCCACCCCGTGCGGCCAACCGCTCTTGCCACATCAGCAACCCTGGCAGAACCCAGCATGTTACCCCAAATTGCTCCTCCTTTCCAGGGTGCCACTGCTCACCGAAGCTGGACCCAAGACTGGTTCACCAACACGGGTCACCCCCAGCGGCTGCTAACCCCCAACTTGCCCCAGCCCGTCGCTTTCCCCCGGGCACAGGGTCCCCCACTCACATCCTTGTCCCCCTTCTTCTTGCGTGTCTGCACGGACAGCGACTCCACTTCACTCTCGAACTGGTCCACCTGCATGTTCAGGGTGTCGATGGTGTTCTAGGGGAGAGGGCGAGCAAAGGCAGGTGGTCAGCCAGCCGTCCCCACGGATGCCTGGGATTGGGGCCCCGAGGTCCCCTCCTCTTCTCTTCCCTGACTCACCGTGAGCCACTGGCCAACCTCCTCCTTCTCCTTCTGGGCAGGGTCCACCTTCTGAGCCAGACCCAGGCCCTCTTTGCTGTAGGCTTTAGTCTTGGTCTCTCGCTCCACAACTTTGAACCGTTCCATTTGCTGTGGACAGCACAGGTGGCAGGAGGTCTCAGCCCGCTGCTCCTTCCCTCCCCCCTGGGACGGAGAAACCTTCCTCTTCTAGGTACTTCTGGGGACCCAGGAATCAGCCTCCTCCCCCCTCTCAGGCTCCAGGCTCTGGGCTCCTACCGTCTCAATGAGCTTGCGGTTGTCTATGAGCTGCCTCTTGTCCTTGATCTCGTTGGATGCTACCCATGTCTTGATCTGGTCCCTCAGCCGCTGCAGGTGGAGGAAAAGCCAGACAGTTCCACCGCCTCAGGACCCGGGCACGCGGGCCGCCAGCCCTCCTCCCTCCGCCCTCGGGACACCGGAATCCAGGCCAGTCCCTCACTTGGAGCTTCTTAATCTCCTTCTTTAGGTCAGCCTCATACTTTTCTTTCTGGTTCGCGTTGGCTGCATTGTGGAGCTGAGGGATGAAGAGAGCCCAGGAGTCAGTGTGGGACCTGGGGCCCTCGTGCCCACTCCAGTGGTAAAACTTGTCTCCTGGGGCTGGGGACACCCACCCCCCACCCCAGTCCATCTCAGAGCTGCTGCTTAGGTCCTCAGCACCTGGACCCACAACCCCTCTCCCTGGCCTACACCCACAGACCTGAACCTCGTCCTGTGCTCTCCTCCCCGGAGACCCAGATCTTTAGGGTCCCGTGCCCTGTACCTTCTGCCAGATATCTTCAAACTGCTCCACGCCCTCGGACACCTTCTTGAGGCAGCGGTCAATCTCACCTGGCCGGGGGCGAGAGAAGGCTGTGAGCACCCTGCCAGGGCAGCAGGCATCCGCGGGGGGCCTCCGAGAACAGTGAGCATGTGGCTACACAGGCCGCGGGCGAGGAGACCAGTACCTTGGAGTTTGCGCTTGTCCGCCATCTTCCCGGCCCTACAGACGCAGGCTCCTCATACTCTCCTGGAGACGGACGCTGCGGAGAGAAGGCGCACGTTTAGCCCTGGCTGGTGCAGACACAGAGACGTGAACGAGGCTGGGCGGGGGCTGCGTGCACGGAAGACGCGTTTACTATCTGACGAGAGACGAGGCCGAGCTCTACTTGTGCTGCCCCGACAGCCCGGCACAGGGGCTGAGTTCTCTGGAAGTTTGCTGGAACAAGGAACCAGATGTACTTTTTCCCAGGAAACGAGAAATTCTAGAGCGTGGCACACCTTCTCGCAGATGACGCTCTAGATGATTTAGAGCAGGAAGCGGCCAAGCAGCCCACGGCAGGGTGCAGCGGAGGAAGGCCCACGGTGGGGCAGGGCACACAGGCGACTAGAATCCTAATGCCGGAGAAGGGACCCCTCAGACAGCTCAGAAGATGAAGAGTTTGCGGGAAAAAGAGCCAGATGCTGTCTGTGTTTAAGAACTGTAGGAGATGGAGTGGGAGCAAGGGGAGACGGGAAGGGCCTGGAATCAGGAAGAGCTAAACACACCCACCGTGTCAGGGCTGGGTCCCAGGCAGAAGAGGGCCGTACCCCACCAAATTTATTCCACAGCAGAGTCGCTCAAACACGCGGGACAACCCAACCCGAAGAAACAGAGGTATGGGGGCAGAAGGCATCACCCCAGAGAGGGCCAGGAGAGTGGAAGGGGACCTCAGCTGTGAGAGAGCCGTCTGTGCGCACGAAGGAGATACCGATCAGATGCGATGGGGACACAGAAGCGGGGAAACGTAAACCACCAGGACGTGTGCCCAGTAAGTACTTAGAGAGCGGGGCGTCTTCACCCTGAAAGTACACGCAGCTCAGAGGAAACCAGGAGCTCCGGCCCAGGGAGAAGCCACAATTTCGGGTCTGACATCAAGATGGGGCGGGGGGGGTGTGCAGGAGCCTGGCAGAGGGGTTAGGCCAAGGGGACTCGTGCACTGCCCAAGGTCACCCCCCGAGAGGGGCCTCTACTGAAAAGCGCAGCTCCCTGAGAAGGGCCCAGGGCAGGGTGCCCCAGGGCAGCTTTGAGGACTAAGAGCCTCAACCCAAAGGGAGGCCACACCAAGAGGATCCCCACCGACAACAACAGGCCCGTCCGAAGACACTTTCTGCAGCAACAGAAACGTTCCACATCCGGGCGAGCTGTGCCCCTGAACGCTGAAGATGTGGCTCGCGCACCAAACAGTGGACCTTCTCGTTCTTACTTCGCTTACTTCACTGCAGGTGCTAGCAGCTACCGGCGGGACAGACGATGACCACGCTCGAGGAGGACAAGTCCTAAAGCTGTGTGTACCAGCCCCTCCCCAGGAGCCCATTCTGGATGGTGGTGAGAGGCTAGGACACCTGCGACCGGAGGGCACAAATCTCCACGGAGGGCCGACCAGGACAATGGCTACACCCCGGCCCAGGGCCTGCTGACACACCGAGGTGGGGCCCAATCCCCACACAAGGAAGATCCCAGCTTCGGGAAGGAGAGGCAGCCAGTGGCCCAGAGGGGATGCGAACCGACGTGGGGGAAGGGCCTTTGGCCTGGGAACTCGGGAGAGGGCCAGGACCCCAACACAGAAATGCCTCTTACTGCCCCGAAGTAGGTACAGGGATCTGACACGGGACCTCCCACTGCCTGCCCCCAGCCCAGAGACGAGGACGCCTAGTGTACAGCCCTACACAAGGCACGCCATGTGGAGGGGTCGGGTCACCTGGCTCAGTGGAGGAGGTGATGCCCCCAAGAAGGGAACAGCGGAGGCAGCAACAAGCCCTCATGGAGTCGGAGGCACGGGGCCAGGGGAACAAGAGCCCCAGCCCAGGGAGGTGAGGTTTCAGACCCAGAAGCGGGGAGCAGCTCAGGCCCAGAGAGGACAGCACGGGATCTGCAGGAGGCATCCCGGGCCCAGCTGGGCGCTGCAGTGGACAGCAGCCTTCGCCACAGAGTCAACAGCCCCTCGCTCTGAAGAAAGACCCCCCCCCACCCCCACCTAAGGACCAGGGAGAACGTGGAGCTTGAGCCTTGAAGTGAAGGTACAAGCACAGAAAAGCCCTGTTCTTACGGGGCTGGGGGCCCCCACGCTCCTACGGGGGTCCGCCAAGATCTCCCAGGGGAAGTAACCACAGTAGGCTCTCCCTGAGACGGGGGGCACCCCAGAGCCTGCTCGCTCACGGCATGGGGTCTCAAACAAACTGAGGAACCGGGGAACCCTGGCCCAGGAGGCTTCACCAGGTCTCGTCCCCTCAAGGAGCCCATTCTAGGTCAGGGAGGGTGATCAGTGTGCCAGACCCACATGAGCCAAGCGCTGTTTCAGTGAGGGGCCCAGACGAACGCACAGCCCCCGAAACCTCGGCTGAGAGCAGAGGGTGCAGTCGGAGACCGGAGGACACCAGGGCAGAAAGGTAGAAGGCTCAGGCCTGGGACCCAGCACCAGGTGGTCCTAACCCTGGGGGCTGTCACGCCGCCAGCGAGGAGGCTTTGCGCCGGGGCAGGAGCGCCGCAGGCAGTCCGAAACCGGGAGGCTGCTGCTGCCGCCCCACAGAGCCGCGGGACTCTGGGAGAGGGACGTGTTCAGGCCTGGGGTGCAGGCAGCTGTGTCCCCACTGGGAGGCCCAACAGCCAGGGCGGGGGTCTGGGAACCCCAGCTGGGAAAGACTACAGCAGAGGGACAGCGGCGACGTGTCTCCGTGAAATCTCGGGCACCCCCTGGGCTGGGAGGGCAGAAGCCCTAGAGCCACGCAGGGGGACCGCGCAGAGAGCAGAAGCGTCAGCCTGGGCACCGCCAAGGGCAGGACCCTGCGCCCGGGGGAGGCAACCCCGACGGAGCTCCCTGACCGCGGAGCAGAAGGCGCACCCCAGCCAACAGTCCGCACATCCCAGGGCCAGACCTTAGCTCCCCGGGTTCCAACTGCGTGCGAGGGGCGACGCGTGAGCCCCGGACCCCCGAAAAGCGCCGGCGTGACCCGGGGCGCGCGCGGGCAGCGGGGGGAGGCGCCAGCACGCCCACATCCACGGGCAGGGGCGGCGTCTGGGGGAGGCAGGGGTGCTTGCACGGCCCACGGCGGACCTCGGCTGCGGCACGGAGCGGGCAGCGGCGCCACGGGGGGGCCCTGCGCCCGGCACAGCACTCGTGAAGTGGGAGTGACATCACCCGGCCCGGCAGAGGGGCAGCCCGCGTCCCGAGGCGGGCCCGCACCCCTGCCCGCCCCGCAGGCGCAGCGCCCCGGGTCCCGACTTTCCGCTGCAGGGCAAACTTTGGCGGAGGCCGGCGGGCCGTGCAGGGGGCCCGTCCGCGGGGCAGGTGGGGGGACGAAGACGCCTGCCCCGCCTGCGGGCCCGGCGCCCACGGGGGGCTGCCGTCCGGCCGCCCGCACCGACGCGGAGAGGCGGCCCCGCGCGCTCGCACCCCCGCGGGAGGGGACCCCCGGCGCGGCCGCGGGGCGCGGAGGGGACCGGCGGGGGCGCGGGGGAGGCCGGCGGCGGGCGCCGCGGCCGCCCCTGCCGGAAGCCCGCGCCGGGGGCCGGGGGCGGCCATGTCGCGACAGGCGGCGGTGGCGCCGGGGGAGGAGGGGAAGGGATCCGGCCCAGTCGAGCCTGACGCTCTCACCACAGGAGCTGGCGCCGCCGCTGAGGAGCGTATCGCGACAGGCGGGGGAGGCGAGCGCCCGCCGCCTTTTTCTCGCGCCCCGGGCCCGGGCGCTATCGCGATAGCGGCGCGAAGCGGAAGTGGGGTGGGGGGAAGTGAGCCCGGGGTTGTTCTGACGACGGGGTCGGGGCTCAAGGGAGGCCGCGGCGTCTGCCGATGGCTCCGCGGAAGCTGACCGGGCCCGGTCCAAGATGGCGGCGGCGGAGGAGGCCTCCCCTCCTCTCTTCTCGTCTCTGGCGCCGACCCGCCCCCGAGACCCGAATATAGGCCTGTGATTGCTCCTGCGGCCTGTCGCTCTTGCCCCTCGGACGCTCCCTATTGGTCCTTAGCAGGGATGCAGCCGGCCTCCTCTCGCCGATTGGGCAATCGCTCCAAGGCGCGGCGTTCGATTGGCCTCCCGCGCAGGCTGCTAGGATTGGCTCAGGTTTTCTTCCCCGCTCCTCCTCCTCCCCGCCTCAGGGCACAACACGCCAGCGCGAGGGCCCGTGCGTCAATCAAGAGGCCACTGTCGTGCTGATTGGATACACCCGCCCCCTTCTCCTAAACCAATTGGCCAGGGGGAGGAGCTAGGCTGATCAGGGGCGGGAAGACGTTCGTCCAGTTTAGAGCCGTTTGTAATTGGTTGTGAGAGGATATTCTGCCCTGAAGCCATTGGTTGGGTTCGGAAGTGGGTGGGGAAAGCGGAGGAAGGCATGGCGCGTGGGCGTGAAAGGCCGCACACCTAATGAGCTGCAGACAAGTGCCTTCCGGGCTGGGGCCGAGCGGAGGTCGCCTGCCAATCAAAGCCGCCCTGGGGCCCCCCGGGAGGGAAGTGGTCCCCTCGGTGGCACTGCCTGCTGCCATTCCCCCTGGCCGGTGTAGAGGGCAACCTCCCGCATTCCTCGTGTCCCGGCTGTGTCGTGTCCCTGCAGCTGGCTTGTGTTCGGCACGGGTCTGGGACCCGCTCCTGCGGGTGGGAGGGAGCAGTGGACGGCGCCCCACGTCGCTCGCGCCTGCACGCCCGCGGGGGTGGGGAGGCTGCAAGGAGGTCCTACTCCCTGCACGTCCGCGTCCTCGGCGCTGGCACGACGCTGCAGAAGGCGCTCGGGGGATCCCCGCTCTCCCACTCTGGCGCCGCTTCCGTCACTTCGGGATGATTCCGGTGTGCTCTCCCGGAGCTGGCCTCGGCAGGAAGACAGGAACTGTTTGCTGAACCAGCGAGCGAGTGAATGCGAGGGCTGACTTGCCGCTGACGACTCCAGGGTCAGACGGTCAAGATGGGAAGGTGGAAGGAGGGAGGATGCACCGGCATCGCAGGGCAAGGGAGGGGACAGGGTCCACCTGGCCCCGTGGAGGAAAGCCTGGAGGTCGTCACTGCGACACCCTTCCCTGCGCGATTCCCATGCTCACTGGAGTTGGGAGAGTCACTCCTCTAGAGCACCGCTCCTCCCAAGTGGCGACCCTGGCTGGGGCAGGGCCTCTCACACACAGGGGAACCATTTGAAGATTTGTTAAAATGCAAATTCTGACTCAGGAGGTCCCAGGTGATGCTGATGCGCCACAGGATTCAGAGCGGTGGTTCTCAAACTGGCCCGCGCATCAGAATCACCTGGGTGGCTTGAAAGAAAAGTCTAGATACTCATCCTTTTACCCTAGACCACTGAAATCTTAATTTCTGGTGATGGGGACCAGAAGTAATTTTTAAATCTACTGAGATGATTCCAACATGCAGCTCATCTGATAGGAAATTTTCTAGAAGTGGTTCTCAAAAGGAGATCTCAATCAGCAGCCAACACATCACCAAGATCTTACCAGAAATGCACACTTTTGAGTTACCCCCCTGGACCAACTGAAGCAGTAACCCTGGGCCCTCCAACCCTGGTTTTAACAAGCCACCCAGGTAATCCTGAAGCATACTAAGTTTCAAGCATCTCTTCTAAGACTGTGCAGGACTGTGGCACAAGGTGAGTCAGATCCTTTCCTGACTCCCACCGGGGAGGTGGAGGTTCTGAAGCGTGGTGGACGGAGCACCCTTCCCCAGCAGACCTATCAGCAGAGAGAGCCAAGTTGGTCACTTTCCAACATGGCTGACCTAAAGCCTCAGGGATAAAGTTGGGGAAACCGAGTTCCGGGACCTGGGGTAACGTGGCCATTAGAAGGAATCTCCCAGGTGGTGTAGACTCTGATGTGAGGGGAGAGATTCGGAGAGCGGCTGAGGTGCAGAGCGAGCCCTGCATTGAGGCACACTTGGATCAAGTATGGCAGGAGCGGCCCAGAAAGAGGAATCAGAGAGCTCTCAGACAGGACCCAGCCAGCCAGAGCCCCAGGGAGAAAGCGTGAACCGGCGGATGGGAGATGGGCAGAGGTAGGAGGCATCACCCTCTCAAGGGTAGGTTATGCACCCACCTCCTGGGCAACTGAGAGGGGCGCCAACTGGCCTCACAGGTCAGTGACCAGGGCTCTGCCCTGTGCGCTGTGCAGCCCAGCTCCAGAGCCCAGTACATGGCCCCCAGGTGGTGCCTTCCTGAAATAGCGCTTGCAGGGTAGCCCTCCTGACCCCCCCTGCCTACAACCTTGTCCCCAGCTGCCTACAGGCCACCAGCCCCGCAGCCTGCACCTTCCAGTGAAGCAAAGGGGACCTGGGCTGAGCCCCAGTCCCAGGACAGAGGAACCTGGCAGGAACTCTTAGAGCACTGTGTCCGTGCCGGCAGGGGGTCCGTCTGCTTGGCCCCATCAGGGCTTGGCACAGCAGGCTGCGCAGGGAATGCCCCGCCAACACTGGCCCCTGACAGGAGCCCACCACCTCTCACATCATCGCAGGTGGCCCCGTGTCGGGGTGGAGGCTTGGAAAGGCGAGGCCGCTCACCTGACACCACAGCTGCCCAGGCCGGCCTGTTCACAAAGCTGGGGCTTTCAGCAGCCGCATCCCTTGGGTGTTAGAACACATGACGTTCTCCAGGCGGGCTGGAGACAGAGAGGGCTCTGCTCTTCCTGGGATCCGTGACAGGGAAGTGAAAGACCAGGGACAGGCCCAGATGCCACCTGGATCTGTGCCCCCAACCCCCACAGCTCTGACTCCTCCAGTCACACGTTTGACAAATGATCACTTCCCAGGGACAGAACCTGATAATGTGCTTTTAATTGCACTTTTTCCAGAAGTACCTCCCTTCCTAGTTAAAATACAAACGATGAGGCAAGATGAAGACTGGCTCTGCTGCTCTGCAGTGGGGAGCAGTCTTGGTGCTTGGGGAGCCGGGCCTCCTCCCAAGCCGCCCCGAACAGTCCTGGCACCGGGCTGAGGACCGACCCTCCCAGCCCTATCCTGACCGGGATCCCTTCAGAAGGGCAGGGCCTGCGCAGCTTCAGGGTCAGCCCCCCAGGGCGCAGCCCCTTAGGTGGACATGATGCCGCTCTTCTCGCCCTTGACCTTGAGGAACTCCGCCATGCTGGAGAAATACTTCTGGTTGGCCTCAGCCACCTTCTTCTCGGCTGCTTGCGGGTTCACAATCTCCAGGCCCTGGGCAGGTACAGGAGGTGATGATGGGGTGGGGAGACGGGCCGGCCCCTGACAAGGCTCGCCCACCCCGAGAAAGAAGGTGAAATGTCCAGGAGCCCTTCTCAGTTGTCCTTGGGCTCCAGGGCGATGTGAGAACAGATGACCGCTCACCAAACTGCCACCGCCCCAAACCTGGGAGATTCTGACTCCAGGGGTCTGGGATTGGGGGAGAGTGGGGAGGACCTGGGCATCTGAATTTTTAACAAGTCATCCAGGTGATTTTAAAAATACCAGTGTTTCAAAACAGCTGACCCCGTTTGGTTCCCAAGTAGGAAAGCTAAGTGACTTGCCTGTGGCCCTAGTACAAACCATAGCAACACCACTGGTGACGCAGACCCACGCTAGCTGGCAACATTCCCAGTATCTTCCCTGCTAGTTCTCACCTCCTCACTGAGGCCTCCCCGGGTGGCTCCAACCAGCCACCGCGCTCCCACTCCCTTTTCCCTCCACGCACTTCCCACCTGCCAGCAGGTTCTGTATCTTACTTCCAGCCGCTGCCACACCACAAGCTCCAAGAGGGCAAGACTTCCCATCTCGTGCTTGCGGCTCTATCCCCAGCGCCTGCAACGGCGCTTGTAGCTCAGTACACCCTTGCTCATGGGGCAAATGAGCTCACATGGGACACGCTGGCCCTCCTCAGGGGAGCCGAGAGACGGACAGACGCAGCGGCTCCACCCAGTGCATCGGTGGCTCGGTGGGACCTCCCCGTCCCAGCCAGCTAGCTATGACCTTTCTTAGTTTCAACCCTTAGGTTGTCCCTACCACCCAGCACCTCCGGGAGGTGCTGAGCCAGCTCCAGGTCACAGGGAACAACTGGTCACCCGCAGTCCCAGCCTGATCCTAAAGCCAGCCTGTGCTTGCAGGCACGTTTCCCTTCTGTCCCCATGAGCCTGAGCACCAGGAACCGCGCTCTGCCTTCCAGGGTCTTCCCTGAAACGCCAGCCACAACAGCCCAATGAGGAACTCCGTGTGCCCGCCTCAGGGACAAAGAAACCGGAGCCCAGAGAGGGCTTTGCTCAGGGCCGCTCAGAAAGCCAGGAGGAGCCAGCCTAGACCCGGGCCCCTGACTGCGGTGCCCAGTACCTGGAGCGGGGTGAAGGCCACGCTGGAGGCGGTCCCCGAGGAGCGGTCGCGGATGGTGGACTTCCCGCCATACACCACGCTCTGCTTCTGCAGGGTCCGCTGTGGGGGGAGTGGACGGGAGGGTTGGGCTGGGCCCAGGCTCTCCCCCCGGAGCTCCCCCACCCTGGGCTCACCCCAGCCAGGCCCGTACCTGCAGTGTCTTGGAGATCCTGGCTTTGGTGGCCTCGTTCACCTGTGTCTGCCGTACCCGCCCGCTGCCCGACTTGCCCAGATGGCCCAGGCTGAAGCCCAGGTCCTCTTGGTAGGCGTCCTCCTCAATCTGGCAGGAGAGGACGGCATCCCAGGGTTCACCAGACGCCCAGGCGGTCACCCAATTCGGGTGCCTGCTGGGGCCCAGTGAGCACGGTCCTGTCACCCGAGCAGGCAGCCGAGAGGGGCTGCGCGTGGCTCCGCGCGCACGTGTGCACGAGAGGGGCCGCGCGTGGCTCCGCGCGCGCGTGTGCACGAGAGGGGCCGCG